TATAATTTTTTATTTGGTGATCTTTTACACTTAAATCTTAGTTAAATTTTTATTTCAAATTATTTTTTATTAATTATGGTCACGTTAACAGCTAATGCTGTTGGAGAGGTCCATAATTAAGTTTGAATATTATCATTGGAAATGTTAATAATGCATAAAATTTTTTAAAAAGAAAAACAGACACTCTTATTATTAGGTCACATTTGTATGGTTTTTTGAGTTTGTTACACATAGTGCTCTCTTATTTATTTATCTCTAAGTTTAATATGTTATTCCCCCTATTACATATAAAAACAATTTCTAACTTTTTTTGAGCGCTCTTAGGCTAGGCAGTGGGGTTAAGTGACTTGCCCAGAGTCACACAGCTAGTGTCAAATGTCTGAGGCCAGATTTGAACTCAGGTCCTCCAGACTCCAAGGCTGGAGCTCTATCCACTGCTCCACCTAGCTGGCCCTCTAACATTTGTTTTTAAAAATTTTTGAGTTCCAAATTCTCTCCCTCTCTGCCCTCCACTCCTCGCTGAGAAGGCAACCAATTAGATATGGGTTATATATGTGCCGTCATGAAAAACATATTTCCATATCAGTCATGTTGTAAAAGAAAACAGACCAAAAAACCCAAGAAAAATAAAGAAAGTAAAGAAACAGTATGCTTGGATCTGCATTCAGATCCCATCAGTTTTTTCTCTGGAGATGGATAGCATTTTTCATCATAAGTTCTTCAGAATTGTCTTGAATCATTATATTGCTCAGAATAGCTAAGTCGTTCACAGTTGATCATCATACAGTATTGCTGTTACTACGTACAGTTTTCTGCTGGTTCTGTTCATTTCACTTTGCATCAGTTCATGTAAGTTTTCCAGGTTTTTCTGAAAGCATCCTGCTTGTCATTCCTTATAGGACAATAGTATTCCATCACAATCACATAAAACAATTTGTTCAGCCATTCCTCAATTGATGGACAGCCCCTCAATTTCCAATTCTTTGCCACCACTAAAATCTGCTGTAAATATTTTTGTACATATAGATCCTTATGCTTTTTTTATCTTGTTAGACCTAGTGGTGGTATTGTTTGGTTAAAGGGTATGCCTGGTTTTATAGCCCTTTGTGCATAATTCCAAATTGCTCAATAGAATGATTGAATCAGTATACAACCTCACCAACTGTGCACTAATGTCTTAATTTTTCCATATCCCCTCCAGCATTTGTCATTTTCCTTTTCTATCATATTATCCAATCTGATAGTGTGTGTGTGTGTGTGTGTGTGTGTGTGTGTGTGTGTGTGAGAGAGAGAGAGAGAGAGAGAGAGAGAGAGAGAGAGATGGGGGAGGGGAAATTATCCGACAGTTGTTTTAATTTTCATTTCTCTAGAGTATTTTTTCGTATGACTATACATAGCTTTAATTACTTTGTCTGAAAACTGCCTATTCATATCCTTTCATCATTTATCAATTGAAGAATGGCCCTTATTGCTATAAATTTGACCCAGTTCTCTATATGTTTGAGAAATGATATCTTTATCAGAGAAACTTTTTATAAAATTTTTTATATGAATTCTGTGTACTTCCCTCCATCCTATTTTTCCCCTATTTATCCTACTCTCTCTTTCCTTTCACCCTGTCCATTCTCAAAAGTGTTTTGCTTCTGACTTTTATCTCCCCCAGTCTATCAGGTAACCCCCTACCACTCGCCCTAGGCTCTTATCCCCTTCCCCTGTAAGTGTGTATGTTATTTCCTCTGAACCAATTCTGATGAAAGTCTTGCTCCCCCTCACTGAGACGCAGGACTTTGACCCAGATCCAAATATGGGCAATGCAATAGAGTCCTGCCCCTGAAAACAGACCCCGAAAGATAAGAGTCCTATGCTCATAATTCCACAGGACGTCAGTAACAGTGCTGGGATTATTTTTATTCTAGATCTGTAGTTTGTTTCACTCAACTGTGGAAAAAAAAAGCTATTATTAGATTCTGACTTTGGTTTTGTAGTACTCCTCTAATATGTTCACTCATTTTAACCTGTTATCACATTTAATGCTTGAAACATCCCTCAGAGTTGAGACTGATAGGGATTAATTCCATTTTACAGCTAGAGAAACCAAGGCACAGGCCAGTTACTTTCCCATGATAGTGAAGTCTAAGCTGAACTCAGGGTTAGAGTTTAGGTCTGTTGACTGCATTCGAGTTTCCACCTGTTAGATTTAACTCCTTTAGTGGGATTTACATATCTTTCTAGTATATTCTCTACTCACTTAGCATTTCCATATGGTGCAAAAACACACATAGTTGTAATTAACTAGTTTTATTTTAGTGTTATGTTCAAATTAGACTATATCAAGATCTAGCTCCCTTGTAAATTTTTTTACAGTTAATTGTTGACCCTGGGGAGGCAGACATTGTGACTTTTCTATCTCAAACTATGTATTAGCATTAGCAGTTTCATGAAGGTCCTTTCAATCAACATATTGTTTCCATTTCACCATGCAAATCATACATGGTGCATCAGAGTATGATGTACCCATTTTATTATCAGCTTGGCTGTAGTGTGGTGGTTAGCAACTGCTGTTCTACTTTCTACAACTGCATGATTTTTCTTTCTTTTTTATCTGAATAAAAACTTACTCTTAAAGCCTGAGGAAATATGCCTTGTATTTCTTTGTATTTAAGTATAGTTATGCAACAGAAAAAAAAAATCCTCCATTGAGTCTTTTTTATGATGCCTCATTTATGGACTAGAAGTAATCCTGGCTTTTCTTTTCTCCCCCCCCCCCCCCCTTTTTGGCGGGGGGGGGGTGGAGATTGGGTTTTAGCGACTTTTCCAGGGCCACACAGCTGGTAAGTGTCAAGTGTTTGGGCTGAGGCCATATTTGAACTCAGGTCCTCCTGACTTCAGGGCTGGTGCTCTATCCAGTGCGCCACCTAGCTGCTCCGAATCCTGACTTTCCTAAGGTGGGCCAGCAGAATACAAGTTTCACTTGTTCAATGGGCTTCACATAGTCCATTCAACAGATATTCTGTTTTCGGAAGATCTGCCCAAGTTAATTAAGAAGAAGCTAATCACCAAGAGGCTTGGAGATAAATTGTTTTGCCATGACAAAATGGCCCTTAATCCATTGGGTCCACTTTTTCAGCAGTATCATGGTGGTTAGTGGTAAAGGGGGCAGAATGTACGGAGTCATACTATTTTAGATTACCTATAATCATTAATTGTAGATGCTCTAAACATGAGGTAATTGTCTAGTGACTGAGTCACTAAAACTAGAACTAGAGGACCTAAATTATATTAATTTTGTCATTCTGAAAGGGAATGAAAAAAACAACCCAGCAACCATAAAAGGTGATTGCAGCTAAACTGGAGAATGGCTTATTGGTTCTTCTTGGAGAAACAAATGAAGAAGTTAATGGAGTTGATTTTATCATGTGTCGAAAGTGAACAAAAATCACGATTTCATGGGACACTTGATGTATTGCATTATTCATGATAAACATTTCCAAAATGCATACTGTGACTTAAAATAAAAGGTTATGTGCTTACGTGATGAGGAGTAAGGAAATTCAAGTGAAAACTCAACACATTCCATATTAAATCAACATATACCTGTTATTTGTTGACTTAAATGCAGTGATGGATATGGGGGTGGGGAGGAACAGTAAAAAACATTAGAAAACATTGTTCAGGGATAAGAAATTAAAAAGATCAAAGGCTTTTAAACTATACAGAAGTATATTCACTATTTCATCCTTTCTTCAATAAGAGATTCAGAATGGTGCTGTACGTGGAATCTCCATTAATTACTTATTTTTGTCATTTCTTTGTTAAAAAAATGTTTTATTGATGCATTTTGTTTTTATACCAGTCATTTATTTCTCCTTAATCATTTCTGTACTGTAAATCTTCCACTCTTTGAACTTTTCCTTGTTACTAAGAAAAGTATTTTATAATATTTGAACATATCTTGACAGTATATGCATATTTCATGTCCTCAGTTCCAGACTTCTCTTCTGAAAAAGAGGAGGTGGAATTCATCATCAGTTCTCTGGTCCTGTATTTATTGGTCAGTAATTGTTAATCAAAGTTTGTCTGCTTTTTAGTGTTTTATTGATTTACGTGATTGTAATGTTTTTATTGTAGTCCTGAGTCTCTTTACTTTGATGTGCATTGGGTCATATAAGTCTTCCTTTGTTTCTTTGGATTAATAATATTTGATATTTCTTACACTACTGATGTTACATTATTATTCCTATATCGTAAATTTTTTATATGTATTATAATTGATGGGTATTCACTTCCCCACCACTGACTAGGTTTTGCTACTTGCCATCAAAAATGTTTTTAGGAATACACACATATCATAATACATGCATACATACATACATACACACATGTGCACACATGCATACACATACACACACACAGAGGATCTTCTTTCTAGAGTCTTAGACCTCCTGATGGCATAAATCCAGTAATGAGTTCACTATATCCAAGAATATGAACAATTTACTGACTTGATACATGATTCCAATTTCTTCCCCAAACAATTGGGCCAGTTCATAATTCGTGATATAATTAACCTCATTTCCAGGTGAGGAAACTGAGACAGAGTTTCAATGACTTTCCCAGGGTCACACAGCTAGTAGGTATCCGAGGCTGGATTGGAAGTAAGATCTTTCTGACTCCAGGTCCAGTCCTCTATCCACTCTGCCACCTTGTTGCCTCAAAGAGCAATAGGGAAATGAGCTAGTGATACTTATAGGCAAGATGTAATATGTTTTCGGACCTGTTTCATAATTGTAAAAGAAAAAATGAGTAGCACCAGACCTTTTAAAATATAGCAAAGATTTTCCTGGAAGTATAGTTAGAAATTAAAGTTTGCTGCAGTTACTGCCTAAACTGGAAGATAACCAACCCTGAACTCCCAAGTAATGGTTTTTGTTCTTCTCCTGCTTCTTCTGTGTCTTTATTATTTCACAACTGAAGTAATCTTTTTCTTTTCTTTCTTTTAGGTGATCTACTGTTCATTTGGTGGAACATCCAAAGGGCTACATTTCAATAATTTGATAGTAGGACTTGTCCTTCTTACAAGAGGCAGAGATGAAGAGAAAGCAAAATGTAAGTAGTTAGAGCATTAAAATTGTAGTACTTTATACATGTAGAGCAATTTTACTTACAGCTCTTACAATTCTGATGTCTATCATGGCAAACAAAGCCAGAAGTTACATTAGTTAATTATATTTAAATTATTTTCAGTAAATTGCTTTCTGCTTTATCTTAGTAACCAATTGTTCTTTAAAATCTTTTGCATAGTTTAAGTCTAAATTGGGAGGTATAGAGAAGGGAATCTCAGTTCCCCTGTTTTATTTGTAATGTGTGGTAATATTGTTCAAATGAGTAGAAGTATATACCAAATTTTCTAGTACCTACGAGGTTTAAAGGAAATATATAATATATCTTAACCAGAATTCAAGTGCATTTCTTAGTTAACATTTTTAATATATATTTTTCTAAAGTATATCTGGAGTATACTTGTTCTATATACTCAACAGTTTTAAATAGAGAGTAAAAATGTTTGGCAGTTATTAAAAATTCTAGTAAAGCTGTGTCAGCTATCACATGAAAAACAGAATGAAGTTGGATGAACTAGTTATACCCCAGAAAATTTTGTATTAAAAATGTATTTCTAAAGAAATTTGGCCTTATTGTCAATGATTTTAATTTTAATTTCTTCTGTTTTTTTTTCTTTTAGACATTTTTAGTCTTTTTTCAAATGAATCTGGGAGTTATGTTGTACGGGAAGAAATGGAAAGGATGCTCCATGTTGTGGATGGAAAAGTCCCAGATACTCTTAGGAGGTGCTTTTCAGAGGTACTTTTACTTTTTCACTGTTGAGCATAATGGTAGAGTTTAGGATTCATAAAGTCTTGGTACCTGGGTGGTGCTATTCTACTATATTCAAAGATTTTATATATTAAATTGGTTTTGGTGGGCTGGCTGAGGAACCTAAACATCATTTGTAACATTTTGGCAGTGTGAAAAAATGGCCTAGAGTACAGACATAAACATGAACTTTTGGTATACGTCATGTTAATAACTTGAGAATTTGTATATCTGCTGGACAGATATAATCTTTTTTTATCATAAACAGCCCCATTATATAGTGATTATTATTTTTGTGTGTAGTATTTTCTCTAAAATAAGTAGTGTGAAATATAATTTGTTTATTTTTAGCATTCTTTTCTTTTAAATTTTGAGTTCCAGATTCCCTCTGTCTCACTCCTTCTTTACCCACTGAGAAGGAAACAAAATGATATCAGTTATATATGTATATGAAATCATGTAAAACATTTCTATATTAGCCATATCATTAAAAAAAATCAAGAAACCGAGAAAATTATACTTCAATTTGCACTCAGAGTTCATCAATTCTCTCTCTGGAGGTGGATAGCATTTTTTTTATCATGAGTCTTTCAGAATTGTCTTGGATCACAGTATTGATCGGAGTAGCCAGTTTTTTCACATTTGATTATCCCATTCAGATTCACAGTTATGGTTATTGGGTATTTCCCTCTGTCTCGTTTTCCTTTTTGTCTGTCTGTCTGTCTGTCTCCTGTCCCTCCTCAAAAGTCTGTCTTGCTTCCAACCATTGCCTCAAATCTGTCTGTCCCCTTATCTTCACCTCCCATATCTCTTATTCCCTTTCTTTCCTATTTCCTTGTTGGGTAAGATAGATTTCTATACCCAGCTGAGTGTGTATGTATATTCTTCCCTCTTTGAATCAATTTAGGTGAGAGTGGATTGCAAGCATTGGAGCCCCCTCCTCTCCCCTCATTTTCCTCTTCATTATAAAAGCTCTTCCTTGCGTGATTCCTTTGTGTGAGGAATTTTCCCCTGTTCTACCTTTCCCTTTTCCCCTCTCCCAGTGCATTTCTTTCTCATCCCTACATTTTTTATTTTTTGGAGATTATCCGAACAGTACCAACTCACATCCATGCCCTCTGTCTATGTAGACTACTCCTAACTGCCTTAATGATGATGAAGTTCTTAAGTTGTTATATGTATCACCTTCCCATATAGGAATGTAAACAGTTTAACTCATTGAGGCCCTTATAGTTATTCTTTACTGTTTATCTTTTTACGATTTTCTTGAGTCTTATGTTTGGATGTCAGATTTTGAAAGTCCTCAATTTCATTAAATTTCCATTTTTTCCCCCTAAAGGATTCTGTTCAGTTCCACTGGGTAGGTTATTCTTGCTTATAATATCCTTGCTTGTAATCCTTGTAATCCTAGCTCTTTTGCCTTCTGGAATATCGTATTTTAAGTTCCCACTCCTTTAATATGGAAACTGCTGTCTTGTGTGATCCTGACTGTGGCTCCACAATATTTGTTTTGTTTCTTTCTGGCTGCTTGCAGAATTTTCTGCTTGATGCAGGAGCTCTAGAATTTGGCTGTAATATTACTGGGACTTTTCATTTTGAGATCTCTTTCAGGAGGTGATTGGTGGAGTTTTTCAATTTCTATTTTACCCTCTGGATCTAAGATATTGGGACATTTTTCTCTTTATAATTTCTTGAAATATGGTGGCTTGGCTCTTTTTTTTTTTAAGTCATGACTTTCAGGTAGTCCAGTAATTAATAAATTATGTCTTCTTGATCTTTTTTCCAGCTCATTTGTTTTTGATGAGATATTTCACAGTTTCTTCTATTTTTTCATTCTTTTGACTTTTTTTATTGTTTCTTGGTATCTCGTGAAATCATTAGTTTCTGGTTGCTCAATTTTAATTTTTAAGGAATTGCTTTCTTCAGTGAGCTTTTGTAACTCTTTTACCCTATAGCCAATTCTGTTTTTTAAGGATTAATTTTCTTCATTGAATTTTTGTACTTTTCCATTTGGCCTGTTTTGCTTTTTAAGGATTTCTTTATTTCTGTGAATTTTTGTGCCTGTTTTACCATTAGGCCATAAGTTGTCTTAGGTTGGAAAAAATTACTCCTCCTGATCTTTTGTTGGCTCTTCCACTTCAAAATTTGATATGAGGCATTATTTTAAAGTTCTTTGGAGGGGAATATTGGGACTATACCATCTTGGATTATTCATTTAGAAGTGCTTTGGATCTCTGTGGGGAAGGAAAATAGAGGTATAGTATTTGTGGGTACTACTTATGGATATTTTTGTGTGGTTTTATTTTGGTAGGTGTTTTTGGAAGCAAATGGGTGTTGTTTAGAAAGGGAGGTATGTTTCAAGTCTAAATCAATATTTATTGAGTGCCTATTAAGCCTGGCATGGTGCTAAGCAGTGGGGGAAAGAGTGACAGCAATTATCTTAAAGATCAAAAGCATATAAAGTGCTACCATACTTTAAAAAGTAGATAATGGATAAAAACAAGCTCTTATAGTTAGTCGTTTAACAATTATTAAGCACCTACTATGTTCCAGGCACATTCAAAGAAAGGTAAAAGATAGTCTTTTGTTCTCTAGGACCTCACAACTAATGGAACAAGACTGCAACCAATCATTCAACATTTATTAATGCATTAAAAGAAGCTGGGTGGAGGAGAGGATTCTGGGAAGATGCTGGAGTAGGTCACAAAATTCCAAGCTCTCCAGATTTCTCCCACAAACAAGATAAAATAGCACCCAAGGGCAAATGTAGAGCAGTAAAAATTTGGGGCTGTAAAGAGTTGGGGCAGAACAGTGGTCCTCCTGGAGCAATTGGAGATCAGAAGAAAAATCTCTGGACCAAGGTTTGGTCCCTGTGAAGAGTAAACACCTCCTCGCTAGCTCCACTGAATCACCTAGAGGCTCACCCTGGGGCTAGCTCAGTGGGCCCCAGCCACAGGAACTTTCACCTCCAGGACAGTGTGGGGTGTCCCGTGTCTGAGCTGCTGTGCTGCAGGTTGGGCACAAATAATCCATGTGAACATTTAGGGTGGTTTCTCTAAATTTGTGCATCTTGAATTTCTTTTGAGCTATTTCAATTCAGCTTTGCTCACAGAGCACAGTACCTTCTCTGATGAGAGCACACCATGTTGGGTGTTTTGGTGCCAGTGTCTTCCATGCCACGCAATCATTTCCAGAGTTCTTAAGAGAGATCTTGAGAAATGGAAGAAAGGTTGCTGATAAAGGTTGCCAGACCCAACTGTGCTGCTGAGACATAGCTCTGGGCTGGAAGGAGCCAACACCTGGTGAGGGCTGAAGCAGTGGGATGGGGATGCTGCTGGCTGTGGGCACTTACAGGAGGGCAGAGTTGTTGGTTTTGATTCCAGGCCAGAGAGGAGAACTGAAGGAGGATCTGAGGCCAGAGATACCATCCACCATACCCCAGGACTGAAGGTGCTTACAAAAAATAAGTTGCTACAAATAAAAAAAAATGAGCGGGCAAAGGAGAAAGAATCCAACTATAGAAAGTTACTGTGGGAATAGGGAAGATTGGGGTTTGTTTTCAGTGGAGGATGCTGAAGCACAAAAAAAACCTCTCCTACCCCAAAGATTTAGGTTATTATTGTCCTTCATTCTCAAAGAGGACCAAAATGACATCACTATGTTAGAGTCAAGTTATGATCCGTCCTACTATGGCTTCTCAGACCAGTGTGAGCTTGGAATGCTGTGCTGCAGGTTGGGCACAAATAATCCATGTGAACATTTAGGGTGGTTTCTCTAAATTTGTGCATCTTGAATTTCTTTTGAGCTGTTTCAATTCAGCTTTGCTCACAGAGCACAGTACCTTCTCTGATGAGAGCACACCATGTTGGGTGTTTTGGTGCCAGTGTCTTCCATGTCACGCAATCATTTCCAGAGTTCTTAAGAGAGATCTTGAGAATGTCCTCATATTGCTTCTTCTGGCCACCATGTGAGCACTTGCCCTGTGTGAGTTCTCCATAAGATAGTCTTTTGGGCAAGCGTATGGTTGGCAATCAAACAACGTGGCCAGCCTGTTGGAGTTGTGCTCCCTGTAGTAGAGTTTGAACGCTCGGCAGTTTAGTTTGAGAAAGGCCCTCAGTGGCTGATAACTTATCCTACCAGGTGATCTTCAGAATTTTCCTGAGACAATTCAAATGGAAGTGATTCAGTTTCCTGGCAGGGCACTGGTGTACGGTTTAGGTTTCACAGGCATACAACAGTGAGGTCAGCACAACAACTCTGTAGACCTTCAGTTTGGTAGTCAGTCTAATACCTCTTCCCTCCCACACTTTCCTTTGGAGCCTCCCAAACACTGAGCTAGCTCTGCCAATGCATGTGTCAACCTCATTATCAATATGTACATCCCTGGAAAGTATACTGCCAAGGTAAATGAACTTATCCACAGCATTCAAAACTTCTCCATTTGCTGTAACCATTGGTTCCACATATGGGTGGTGTGGTGCTGGCTGATGGAGAACCTGTGTTTTCTTGGTGGTAATTGTTAGGCCAAAATTAGCACAAACGGCAGACAAATGATCCATGCTTTGTTACATCTCAACTTCAGAGGCTGCATTGAGTGCACAGTCATCTGCGAACAAAAAAAACTTGCACCAGCATTCCCTCCACTTTGGTCTTGGCATGTAGCCTTTTCAAGTTGAAGAATTTGCCATCAGTGTGTTAGCTGACCTTGATGTGGTGTTCATCCTGATTGAAGGTGTTTGACAACATGGGTAAAACCATCATGCCAAAAAACATGAGAGCAAGCACACAGCCTTGTTTTACTCCATTGGTGATTGGGATCAAGAGCATCATCCATTATCTAGAACCCAGGGAAGCATGCCATCATAAAATTGATGTACAACACTGATGAGCTTCTCTGGGCAGCCAAATTTTGACATAATTTTCCATAAGCCATCATGACTGACTGTATCAAAGACCTTGGTCAGATCAACCAATGTTTTGTACAGACT